TGCACACGCGGAAGCACTAATCTATCGCATTTAATGCTCGCACCTATCGAGATAAGCACGACAAACGAATCGTGAAACGTGCGTGTAGGAACAACCTTGGCCACACCGCAGTTATTACTTTAATTCGCGCTTAATATGCCCGCTTTGAGAAGTGATTTTCAGTCGAACGGGTAAAAGCGCGCTTTATGCAACTAGCGCGCGATAAATAAATCACTTGGGCATCCTTGGGACACTTTGATCGTCGAGAGGGCTCGGCATGAGAAAGTGCGAAATATCCCACTTACGATCGTCCTATATGCCGTCGGAACTCGCGTGAAAAATGGCTCGTCGCAGACGAGAGGCGACATGACGGAGAGACCGAGGGCAAGTGGGAAAACAAGATCAGGTTGAAGGAGAAATCTCTTTCCCGGAGAAGCGACGGCGTTTTATCCGTATGTGCACGAGGGATTTATAAATTTTCCGAGGGAACCGCGAGAATTTACTCCGTTACTACCTGTCCGCGAACTTCTTCCACCGAATCAGTTTTGCGCGAAATGAATCGACCGGCCGCCTCTGAGTGGTTCCATAAATCCCGGGCTGCCGCGGGATAACGCCGTCAGGACGTTGACAAATGTAAATAAGATTGAACTCGCGCCGCGCCGATTTAATGCGCGCGAATCTGGATGAGCGAAAAAAGATGGAGGCTTCAGATGTTGGATGCGAACGAATATATATTCTGTTCTTATACCAAACGTGCGGCAAAGGAAAATTTGTGTTTTCTCTTGTTTAAAACAGTCCCCGTTCAATATTTTACACATTCATGTTGTGTAAATAAATTATTTAAAACTGAAAAAATATGTAAAAATAACGCAATATGCATCTATTTTTAATTTTACACAATAAATACGTTCTGTTTTATTAATGACAATATTTATCTGTTAAAATTTGCAGAAAAACGTTGAATTTTTATTTTATGAATGGGAATGATAAAATCTAAAATTAATATGGTTTTAGTAGTTAATTTTTATATTAAAACTGTGTTAATTTTGCGCAAAAATTATTTTAAATCACTTGCATTTATTTTGTGTTCAAATTTTAACACAGTATTTATGTCTTCATTTAACATATCCATGTTGTGTTAAATTAACACAAAAATTTCTGTGGACCGTTTGAGACACACATGTGTTATCTTAAATTAACTAATTAAATTCAACACAAATTCTTCAACTGTGCAAAAATTTGCGTGCAATCGCAGATGACAGGAGAACATGATTGATAAGAAAAATGTCAAGTAATATTATTAATAAATTTAATACTTAAATTCTACCTAAAAAAAATTGTTAATTTGATTAAACCTTTCAACTAAATTATTATTTGATTAATTGAACATATATTAGTATTTAAGTCAAATATATACACGTTCTGTTAGATTTAAAATGTGTTACATTTAATTTAAATATTTTTACATGTTCAATTAAAATTATTAATATCAGTTGAACGGTTAGTCAAGTTAACAATTTTCTGATAAAAAATTTCTACGTTAAATTATAGATGGTTAAACGATATTGTAGAAAACGAAATGAAAAAGTGTACGTACATAAATAAGTCTGAAGCTCTCTTTAAGAAGACAGATGTTTACGAGAAGAGATGAAGTTTTGTCATTTTCCCGAGAGTGTTGTTGTATGAAAAATTGGCAACCAAAAATATTTAATCAATGATTAGATAAAAATAGATTATGTAAACTGCAAGATAAAAAAAAGTTGTCAGTTCTATTTTCGGGAAACGTATCAATATCGATATAAATCACTTTGCGTGATTTCTGATTCTTCAACAAAGCTCAAATTTGTTGGCTCGCGTAATCGATAATTCTCGAAGGACTCTGACGAGACTTGATAATACCATATAGACATTATAGACTCGAATAAGACAGAATATCGTGATATAATACTCGGCTCCCATCCGCGTTGACCTCATTAGCGATGCACATGGTGCCGCGTTCGTCTCGCATTCAAATATTCCAATACACTGTATGTTGTATTAAATATCCTCCTGATAGTACATCTCACAAACTTAAAATGCGCGCATGCAATCGTTTTAAAATCAAATCTGCCTTCGATCTGAACATTTTACCAATCATCGCAATAACAACAGCTGAAATCGGAGAATAAAAACCAAATTGCTGGAGCGCGACGGAATATATCGTGCTGGAATTTAATAGATTCGCCAGATAGAGAGGAAGGCCAATTTTCGTCGCCCGAAAGCTGCATCGAGAGCAAAAAAAAAAGCAAAAAAATCGACTAACGAGGAATAGTGGAGAACGCGACAGGGGATTCCTCAAGGGGACGAAAGGAGAGATAAAAAGAGACGTCCCCGCTTCGTCATTCCGAGGAGCTAGACTCCTCCTCGAGAAGGCGGTGTCGACGACTCTCTGTCTCCTTCCAGGAACTTTTAATTTCCGGTACTTACCGGAGAGAGAGAGGACGGTCCGGGAAGGTAACAAGCGGTGGACGACGAGAGGACGTGGAGGAACGGGAAGAACGATCGCCTTATCGTTTACAGTGATAGTCGTCGTGCTTGCACCGGGGAAATCGCAATTGAGTTCGGTTCGACGATACTGAAAAGCTCAGCGCCGCCGGCTGCGAGCTCTCGCTGGCTCCAGCTATTGATCGGAGGCCGACCGACCTGGGTCAGAGTGTAGCGGTGTGGACTGGCATCAGTGCAAGCTGTCTACGTGTGCAACGTGCACGTGAGTGTGTGTACGTGGCACGTGCACCCTGCTCTGCACACACCGGCGCGGGACCGCGCCGCTGCACACATCGACGTCCTCGCCAGGATCGTGACCAGGAATTTCGTCCTCTTGGGCGAAACGCTGAAATAGCACCCTCATACCCTCGCGATGTTTTAAGCAATCCGGTGAGAGCTTTGTAATTATCGACGCGATCGAAATATACAATTTTATGAATGATATCATTATAGATAGGTACGCGTTTTTTTTTTTTTTTATGTCACTTGTATGAAGTTTTTAAAATGTCTCAATATTTTTTTAATGTTCTTTCATAAAGATGATGGCAAAATATTTCTCCAGAGCGCATTTTCCAAAACACGCAAGAATCATTAGTTTTAATTTTTTACGCTACATATTGTGATTAATTAATTATTAATATTTCGATATTTCAGATTATATAAAAATCGACTTTAAATTCAATAAAAGAATCTCGTTATTGATCAAATTAATTTTTAAAACGTTTTAATATTTTTAATTTTTTAAATATCTTTTCATAAAAACGCAAGATTATGATGGCAAAATATTTTTCAAGAGCAATTGCGTACATTTCAAAAATATAGAAGGACCCTTATTTTTAATCTTTTTTGTAGCATAATATTATAATTAATTAATTATTGATATTTCGATATTTCAGACCGAAACATCAACTTGAAATTCAACAAAAGAATTTCGTTATCGAAATTAATAAAAAAAAAAAAAAAAAAATATGCATAAGTGCATCCGAAAATTGCAACCCTTAAAATCTCGCTGCACATCGACTGCAACTATCCTTTCTATTTTTCAAGAGCAATTGCGTACATTTCAAAAATATAGAAGGACCCTTATTTTTAATCTTTTCTGTAGCATAATATTATAATTAATTAATTATTGATATTTCGATATTTCAGACCGAAACATCAACTTGAAATTCAACAAAAGAATTTCGTTATCGAAATTAATAAAAAAAAAAAAAAAAGATGCATAAGTGCATCCGAAAATTGCAACCCTTAAAATCTCGCTGCACATCGACTGCAACTATCCTTTCTACCACGTTATTTACCCTACCACTTTACTTCTCGCAGCCTTGTATAAATATATACATCCGGCGAGGTCGCGATAAAATTCACGCCGGAAAAAAAGAGGTCCATCGGAATTCCGGTAATATACCCGGGATCGACCCGCCAACGTTGGAATCCGCGGGCACGTGTCCGCTCCGAAGGAGAGCTGCAAGAACGCGAGTGCAAGCTCCGAATGTAAGATGCATTATTGATACTTCTTTGGCCCCGTTTCATTCCGCAATGTAGCCATAGTTGTTAAATTCCGGACATCACATGTCCGATTACCGTTTTGATAATGATCCAGGTTAGCGGCGAAACTATTTGTTAAATAGTCGGACGTTCGATATAACGGGGCAAATGTTTAGTTATCCATCGAGAGAGCGTCGTCATAGGAGTGCGCACATAAATATATGATATATTTTATTTAATACACTAAAAAATATATTTATTTCAATAGTGTCAAATAAATTATTTATTTGAAATTAATAACTATTAAAATTTCTATTCGCTCGTGTATTGTATAAAACAACAAATGTATTCAAAAAAGGCCAACTTATTGAGCAATATTTAAGATATTGTATCCAATTGAAATTTATTTCTTAAACAATATATTGAAATTACAAAAAACCTTCCATATATATATATGGAATATATATATGAAAGGTTTTTTGTAATTTCAATATATTGTTTATATGGAAGGCTTTTGTAATTTCAATATATTGTTTATGAAAGAAATTTTAATTGGATACTACATCTTAAATATTGCTCGATAAGTTGGCCTTTTTTGAATACATTTGTTGTGAAATTAATAATATTAATTTGATTAAAAAATAAGAAATATTTATTTGTTTCAAATAAACGATTGATTAGGCAGTATTGAAATAAATATTCTTTATTTTCCTTAGAGAGTTTTCTAACTTTTGAAACATATGATTTGGTATTTAATTTCTAATCCATAAATTTAATCTTTCGTATCTTCACGTTTTAATAATATAATATATTTGTCGACTTGTGCATCGTGCAAAATTGCAGTTCGAAAGTGCAACATTAACGCGATGTCATGCGATCGAGAAAAGTGTATATGTGACATCGACGGGTATTTTTTGCATGAATATTTAGGTTACGTGTGTATTTTCTATTGACCCGCGGAATTTAATATATTCGTGTCTAACGAATATAAGGGAATATAAGCAACTTACCTCGTTAGTGTTCCATCGATGCCTCTGAGTTGGAAAGTGTTCAGCTCGCGGCAAGGTTTCCAGATTTTCGGGAAGCTTTATCGGGTCGCCGTCTGCGATGATAAATTATCTCAATTAATAGCTGTTCTCGGCCGGAGAGAAAGAGAGGGAAAAATGTGCGGGGATCGTAGAAAGCATAAATTTTAAAAACGATTTGTTCCGTGTTACCCGTTACATTACTTAACGGAGGGTCTAAATTTATGCCGTTGACGTGCGTGCATGTTGATCAATCGTGACAATTTTGCTCCCGGATCGATAAGCGGATCGTTATTGTGTCATGAGCAATGAGCATTAGCGAGTCGCCCGCTCACACTCGGCAACTTTAGCATATTATGTGCATGTGTCATTAGCTCTGTTTATACACAACCGATCGAAAACTTCCATCGATCCCCGCGGTCTTATTACGTATATATACGCCGCCATAAAATAGCACTCGTAATAGATTGCACCTTCCACGAACGCCCCGAGTTACCTACTAGCGTTAGAATGCAAAAACTCGACAGTCTAAAGATTCTTTTGCCGAGAGAATTTTTGCACGCTATTTCAACAATTTACTTTTTTAAACACGGTCGAGAGAAACATTTCCCTCTTCGAGCGGAAAAAGTCGGGGAATAGTTTGTTAAAAAAGAAACATCAGAGCCTTCAAAAAATACACGCTTAAAAAATTATTTTAAATGTGTGTACGTAAAAAATGATTCACTATAGCATTTTAATATATAAATTCTACAAGAGTGCTGTAAAAAACTTTTCACCAGTATCTAAGAAAAACAATGTTTAATCAACACTTGTTATTGTCCATATATATAATATGTAAAAGCATTTAGCGAAGATTTATATCTCCTTTCTAAGGAGATTCCGACTATGAAAATGAAATTTATTTTACGAGATAGATTTTCAACAACAGGAAAATAAAACGCGCCATTTCAACAAATATCGTAAAATCTGAATGTATGCATTGTGTTTTTGAATTATTGGTTATCCGGAATGCATTTTTATATCGAGGCATCAAGCGAGTTGCTCGACAAAATGCTCGCGCTTCGCAACTTGCATTTCCTCTCGATATATTATTGATATTATACGCATATAGGAGACATCTGTGCTTTCTCGCTAAGCCATGCGATATATTTGCGATATTACGCATCGTGTATTCTCGCATCTTTTATAGCATAAACACGAAACATGTGGCATAAATCTATGCCCGTGTTGTAATTCGTTGGGTTACACGAAATTGAAAAGGCCAGAAGCCGTAATAGCCGTCGTCAAAATAATACAATTTATTCCTTAACATGGTCTTTGAGGCAAGACTTTATTGCAGCGTCTCCGGAAGAAGTACCATCACGAAGAAACTTGGGAAAAAAAAAGAGAACCACAAACCGCGTGTCGGGAAAAAAAAAATAATGGCAGAAAAAAACGAGGGCAAATGCGACTTATACTGTATATATTTTTCTGAAACGTCAGAAATCGTGTCATATGTATAAACTTCGGCCGCGATCGCGATCGGGAAGTTTTTTTTATGGTCATATAATTTACAGTAACCTTGTTATGCTTTAATTACCTGCACGAATAAATTCGTCGCTCAAGCGTATACTTCTCTCACGTGAGGAAATTTTGATAAAAATTTTTTCCGCGCGATTAAAAATCCATACGTCGCATAAATCGATATACTATACGTCGCATCGACGAGCTTGCACATCTGTTCGATAGATAGCTTACTTCTACGCAGTTCTTCCCATAGATGTGGCAAATTACTGCGTTTTAACTTTGGTTCGAACTAAAAGTTTCGTCCTCGGCGAAACGTTTGTCGGAAATTCTTATTCAGAATTAGCGGAGAAAATTATCTAAGAAAATCAAATATTTATCTAATGACTGACTTAGCTTTCGGAAGCTTATAGCCTGTGCAATATTCATCGAACTCGCCCGAAACTAGGCGCCATTAACTAAACTTTCAATCATAAGTACGATACTTAAGTTTAGTCGCCGTGGTCCCCTGGATTTCGTAGTAACGAAATGATGTCTGTTTAGCTTGGAACTTTTTTAACGTCACGGTTTACTTAGTTAAGTATCGTTACACCGTAAGTACGGTATAAAAATTTCACATTGTAATTTCATACATTTTTCGTAATCTTGCCTCTGAATAATTATGAAGGAATAATCTTTGAGCAGTCTATGCGGATAGAGAAACTTAATAATCATTCACAATTCATAATCAAAGGTAAAATTAACCAAGAAATTAAAGAGATTATATCATCTACAAAGTTTATAATACAAAATTTCGCAATACATATCTGAGAGAGAAATTATTTTGGGATAAATTAAAATAAAATTCCTTTGACGAGTGCACAACGATTGATAAATTTAATAAATTTAGGGAAACAAAAAAATTAATGCAATTATTTCGAAAAATAGAACAAAGGCAAAAAAGAAGGTTCTTTTAAATATAAATTTAATTTTTCCCGAATAAAAATAAAATAAAAAAACACTTTTCAAGACAAGTGCACAACCGATTGATAAATTTTATTTAATAAATTTAGAGAAACAAAAAATTAATGCAATTATTTCGAGAAATAGCATAAATGTTAAAAAAAGAAATGTTTTCAAAAAATATATTTAATTTTTTTCTGAAATAAAAGTAAAATAAAAAATACTATTCAAAACAAGTGCACAACCGATCGATAAATCTTATTTAATAAACTTACAGAAATAAAACAATTGATACAATTATTTCGAAAAATAGAACAAAATCGAGAAAGAAAATTCCCGATGTTTTCAAATATATTTACTTTCTCCTGAAATAAAAATAAAATAAACAAAAAACACTTTCCAATACGAAATTTTATTTTAACAAATTTAGACAAACCAAAAAGTCAATATACAATTATTTCGAAAATGAAAATTCCTAAATGTTTTCAAAATACATTTACTTTTTCCCGCGCTAAAAATAAACCAAAAAGCACTCAATAAATCTCTCTCTCTCTAGAATCTCCGTATGGTACTCCCCGGAAATAAATCCCAAGTACCAGCGATAAATCGAAGAACGAAGCTTGTCCCGGAGAGTTCTCTCTACACCGGGAGACTCATAAATAGCTGATAGACTCACTTGGAGCGAGAGGCGTCGGGTAGGTCGCGTGGTAGACGACACGCTGTGGATTCGAATGATTGTAGCCCGCCATTTCCGCGGTGGTGGTGGCGCGTGTACGCACTGCTCGGATCTTACCGATCGCCGTGGCCGATCGTCATCGTTCCTGAACGTAGGAGTGACGAGGGCGCGGCGGTTGAGCCCTGGAGGGCATCCCTGTACGAAGGGTTCTTCTTCGCGGCGGCGGCGGCTGCGGCCTGACAGCGGACGGTCGCGATCCTGACACGACGACGACGGCGGTCTGCTGCTGCTCCTTCGATCGGGAGGACGAGCTCAAAGGACGACGGCGGTCCTCTTTTCGTCGTCAGGACAGCTTGCCGGTCGCGGGATCCAGGACGTAAGGGTGGCACTCGGCGCGACGTTGTCCCCGGCGTTGCGAGGGTTGGATCTCAGCCGAATGACGACTCCCTCTGGAACGGCAAGACATATCCTTCCCAAGGGAGCGTGTGATTTTGATTCTTTCAAGGACCGATCGGTCCTCACTTCGTTCCTTTAGCTCTCTTCGCGCGGACAGATTTGGCTCGAAGAGGTCAAGGATTTCAAGTTTCTCGTAGAAGGATACACGTGGGAGTGCACGCGGAAACACAAACAGGATCGATCCTCTGGCCTCCTTTCGTACTTTCCTCGACTCTTTCTTTCTCTCACGCTTTTTTGTTAGATTCTTCTTCTAGTATAAAAAATTGGAGCTCCGTTGTTTTCTCTTTTTTTTCTATACGACGCCCGGAGCCATCCCTCTTCGTGAACCTTCCTTCTTCCAGTCGCTTCCTTCTCCCTCCCTTGATTGTTGATCACGCCTTGATCCTCTTCTCCTGGTTCTCGTTGAACGTTTCCGGTCACGACTACACACTCTTTCTCTCTCTTGTTATTTCTTCCAGAATTCCAGTTTCTCCTTGCTCTCCCTTTTTGTTGTGCGCTCCGGAGCTCTTTAGTTCTTCTTATATCCTAAGTTACAACACTGAACCCGTCCCCATCGGAGGGACAAAATAATGTAAGGGTCACACAGAGTATAGAGAGAACTTAAAATGCGATTATCCCGTCCCGTAGAAGCCGACGCGCGCTATTTTTTTTTTCTCCTCTCTTTTCCTCCTCTGATCTCTCCCTCTCTTTCGTGTTTATATTTCCGTTTCGTCCTCTCCTTCACTTCCGCCGCGTCGTGCACCCGTCCGAACGAGGAATAACTTGAGAAAATAGATTTTTCTATTCGTTCGACTCTTTTGTAACTTGTTTCTTGTTTACTGTGTATTGCTTTGTGTGTATTGCGTGTGTTGCAAACACGTTTACTTTTGGAAAAAAGAAACCGGAAATGGAATTACCTCGTCGTACGTCTCCCTCTTTCTCACTCACTCTCTCTCTCTCTCTCTCTCTCGCTCTCGCTCTCGCTCTCTATCTCTCCCTCTCTCGTTCACTTCGTATATTTGTCTTCCTTCCCTCCTTTACCCTCCTTTCTTTTTTACAGACGGTTGTTCTTACGGGTCTTAAGGTTTAAAGAGAGTCCTTATAGGAGAAATGTGTTGTTGCTGTTGTTACTGTTTCGTGTTTACAGTTGTTAGTTAGTGTTATTTACAAATATGTATTGTTTTTGTTAACAAAATAGTTCAAATTAGTCTTTGGCCCCGCGTGTCTGCTCCCGAGCGGCGGGAGCCGCAGAGTGAGGCAACCCGCGACTCTCGACCTCCGTCCTCCCTTCTTCATCCCTTCCTACTCCCTCCACCAGACTGCTCTATCCCGGAGTCCTCCAGCCTCTACCAGCGCCGCGCCGCGGCCGCCGTGAGAACGATCGCGCGCTCTCTCTCTTTCTTTCTCCCTCCATCTATCTGTCTCTAGGTGAGGTCCGACTATCCGGCCCCAGCCACAGCCCATACCAACTCCCATCCCTCTGGTGTGTCTGCCGAATCCTTCCTCACCAACCCCTCTGTTTTCTTCCGTCCCTTTCCCTCTCTCACTCATCCTCACGACTTCCTAACCTACGTCTACTTGCCACTTTTACGTGTGGGTGCACCACCGTGCCAATTCGGTACGAAGCCACCGATGGTGCTGTTCGTTGCTTACCTACGTCGCTATCCACCTAGCTAACCCTCGGAGTACTCGTTGGGGTTGTAAATTAAGGATTATACCGTGGATGCGAATTAATGTCGAGGTATATATGTGTATATGGAGAGAAAGGAGGATCCCAAGTGGTCTCTGCGCACCAACCTCGCGAGATAATCATCCGTTAGCCGGTTTCCTCCGCGTTCCACCGGAGCCGTGCCAAATAATTCTCACCGTCGACAAATCGACGCTCGTACGTCGTAACGCCTCTGTCGTCGGGGCCGATAAATTCCGCGGCAGCCTCGCGGAAGAGATGGACGAGAGTTGCGCGAAGTAATCGCGCATTTGCATGCGAGGCGTAACCTTGAACGCGATACGTCTAGATTTGGAAGAGGAAAATGGCGAAGTAACGACGCGCACACGTGGACTTGGAGTGAAATGCATTTCGGGGGAATAAATTAAATTATTGGACGTGTGTGAAGAATGGGACGACGGAAAAAAGTTTTACATTAAGGGGCTCCTGACTTAGGTCTTTTTGTTTTGTCGATAAATGTTATTTGCATTTAACTATTTATCGGGTGTGCGGAATGAAAAATCCTTTGCTATAGAATTCAAGTATTCAGAATCTGAACAAATCTGAGAAGTTTATTCGTTATTGCAACCTCGAGCAATCAACATCCGAAAGCCTTCACGTCACGATATAATATCTTGCTCGATTTAATTACATATTAACAATTGCTGTTATCGAGATTCGCAACCGACCTCCTGATCGAACAATTAGCGAGAGATTTGTTTCGCGACAATTACATAGAATGACGATTCGAGGAATAGAGTATATAAAAATGCTCATGCTTTAAAAATGCGTTGATTTCGTTTAAAAAAAAAAAAAAAATAGCTTGACGTAGTTTCATGCGAATAACTGTGTTTCTGTATAGTTTTATTATATTGACAGTTGTGAATAATTGATTGTTAATTTCTATTAATCTTTAATTTTAAATGATGCGCTGATGAAGGTTGAAAAAGGCAACCGAAACGTTCGAATTTATTTCTGTCTAATATTTTATGTTATAAATCTTTTTCCATAAATAAATATTAATGAAAGAACTTAATTAGCTCTTATTGCCTTTTATATGTATATTAATTTTTAAAGAGCTGTTACAAATTATATTAAATCTGAAAAGATTCCTGGTATCATTTTCGAATTATAAGGAGTTGGAAATAAAGGCTTTTTTGGAAACTAGGCCTTGTGGGAATAAAATATTAACAGAACTACGTTCTTTGATTAATTTTAGGTAGAGTTTGCTTTAATAGAGTTTTAATATAAGGCTTAGTTATAAAAAGTACATAATAGCAAAAATTGGAAACATGCTAAAAGTGATGGCCTCCCTCAACATTTTCACTAAGGAAAAATCGTCTACAAATAATCCCAGGAATCTGACATTAAAAACTTTTCTGATTCTGTACGATATATGTATATAAAAAATAGGAAAGCTAAATAATTACAGTTTTTTTTATCAGTCTTTTGCGTTAAATCAACCTAATCTAAACGATAAGAAAAGTGTAATTATTTAACTTTCTTGGTTTTCTTTTATACATAGTTTTACATAATAGTAGAGCCCAGATGTGTTATTATGAAAATACTTTAATTCTAGTAAAGGATTTTTCATTCTGTACACCCAATAAACAAACAGACATATTCAGGCTAATTCGATGAAAGGAAGAGATAATAGCTTTTTTACCCTCTCTAATATTAAGCTGTTAATATTACAGGACACAGTTTAAAGTTGCAGCGCGTACGAACAAGGAAACCCAATTATGCGAACGAACATTGAAACGTGTAATGTCAGCCACGGTTAAGTAACTTTACAGTGTAAAGTTTACACTGTTCTATAGATAAGGCTTCATGACAAACCATATGGAGAGCATCGTTAGCATGCAGAGCCCAGTGAAAATCGTAAACTACTTGATGTAGCAGTCTCTCGCGGTTGCGCGAATAATTCGCCCGGCGAAGATAAACTTTATCTTTGCTGCCGCTGCTGACGGCATTAAAGAAAACCGCACGATTCTTTTGGGGGAAAGGATACACGCGCGCAGTTCCGCATCCAAGAAAGTAATTTACAAGATTATACATTATTCGGGGGCTGCGACTCGTAAATGCGCGGACTGAAACGACCAACTCGGCATTTTACACCGCGAAAGTAGCTTAAATCTACCGAACAATTGCGAGATACTATTCGAAATTTATTTTCAACCGGAAAGTAATAAACAGAGGAATGACCGGGCTCTCTGTCTTATAAATGAAAGGAACGAATTGTCCTACAAACGTGTGAAATTTCTCGATTAATTTCAAAAGAGAATTTTATCTCGACAGATTTTTAACCGGGAGACTTCAATTACGAGGATATTTAACGTCGAGAACTTTAAAAATCTATATAAGCGGGAACGAAGCGAATTCATTTTTCATCGCTGATATAAAGGAGAAAAATTTTCAAGATTCGGAAAAATATCGGGAAATAAGGAAAGAGGAGCTTCTTGCAGTTCTTGCGCAATTGTAAAGATTCGTTAGCGGACATTAAAAACATCATCGTAAGCAGCGGAGATGATCGGAATTGGCTCCGATACTTCCCGGCACGTCTTCTCGACCCTTCGCTGGGGAGAACGTGGCGGCTAAACGATATTTCTCTCACAATCCACGAAACGCAGGCCAAGTCCTCCCCGACTTCGCACCTACACACGTGAAATACACGCTGAACTCGCTCTCGTGCCACGAGGATCGTACGTTTGCAGCTATATGTACCTACATATAGAGTGTACATGCACGTACAACAGTACATATACACAGGGTGTCCGAGAACCGGCGCAAGTTTTCAATGACAGATTCCTGCTATCATTCGGAGACGATTTTTCCTCGGCGAAAATGTCGAGACACCAATCATTTTCGAACTGTAAACAGTTGGAAATAAAGGCTTTTTTGGAAACTAAGCCTTGTGGAAATCAAATATTAACAGAACTACATTCTTCAGCTAATTTTAGATAGAGTTTGCTTTGGTAGAATTTTTATATAAAGCTTATTTATAAAGATGCATAATAACAAAAATTAGGAACATGCTAAAAATTATGGCTTTCCTCGACATTTTCACTAAGGAAAGATCGTCTGGGAATCTGCAATTAAAAACTTGTCCGCCAGTTCTGGGACACCCTGTATATATATATATCTATAAGCAGGGCATGACACAGCACACATCGGATTCTCGCAGAAGGTTCGTGTCGAATTTTAATGGAAGTGCTGCCACCTTCCAGTGACCTCTGGAGCCAGACTGCTGGAGGCGGTCTTCCCGTGGAAGAGGCTCGCGAAGAAAGAAAAAAAAGAAGAACACCCTCGGGGAGAGGGTGGAAATCACTCAGGCGTCGAGCCCCTATCGCCAATCTGATTAATGGTAAGATTCATGAGGTATTTATACGGATTTAAGCGTGCCTATATGTGACGAACACGTAGCTTTAGAACTTGGCTAAATTGGTGAGCACAATCACGAGGGCACGGGTATGCTGATGCAGCTTGATGAATCAAGCGGAGGCAACATCATTTTCACGATTCTATACATTTTTGGAACTCTATAAAATGTAATATCAATGAAGGGCACTAAAAAAATTTGTTCACTCGACTAAACCCTTAGTTTAATAGGTCAAATATACGTTTCGTTGTATTTAATTTAAATATTTTTATATATTCAACTAATAATAAAATAATATTTAGTCAAGTTAACAATTTTTTCTCCGTGTATAATTAATTTCTTAACATATTATACTCACATCCTAAAGCTGAAAGGTTTAATTTAATATTCTAATATTTTTTTACAATTTGTGACAGAAAACCGAAAAATTGGTTATTATATATCTTCGAGAGATTTGATTATTATTTAACATTTTATTTACACTTTACACCATTTTAGATATGCACGTCGTTCCGCTGACATATAAAACTGTGAAAAATTGACGGGGCGATTGTGATTGCTTTAAATTTCGATTAGCTCTCGCGCAAATCTGTCCCTGGCGTCCGAATGGCTTCCGATCGCGCGTGGCTTCCGTCGCGTTAAACTCGTAATTTATCCGCGGTCTGGTAATTGAGCGAATCTCATGTCGGCGAAATGAAACGAACTCGCGCCCTCCCGGCCTTCCGACCCTCGCAAAGCCACCCTCGATTTATTTGCTTCCGCGCGCGCGACGCAGAATCCGCGTGCACGTCATATCCGGGTCGCGCGATACCCCATTCGAATTCAATCGCTATTATGCATTTTCGACGTGACGCAGTTTCGTCGCGCTTTAATTCGTCGGGACTTGGCTTTATTATTAGTCCCTTTATCCAGTCACCCAGACCTGGATAATTTTTCGATAATATCTAGAAATTCGGTGAAATCATCATCATCAGTGTTTGCTTTTTATCTAAATAAAATTATATAGATAATCATCTAGATGAAACTTTGGCGTCATCTTATCTTTATGCAGATAAAGAATATGTATTATTTATATCTACATCTTAGATGAAAAAGTAAATTATCTAGAATAATGTTCAGATAATTTTGTTTAGAGTTATAGCACATAAAAATACTCAAGTAGTAGAACGAGCATAAATAAAAATATGAATATATTTTT